TTCGTCCAGTAGTGATGGAACGGAACTGAACTTTAAGCCCGAAAACACTGAAGGAACCCTATTGAGTTGCGTGCCTAGTCTTAACCACACCGAACCTCACTCCGACCACATGTTTTTGCATCAGGAGAAGGCAGAATGTTGAAGCAGGTCCAAGCATACAACAACAGAGAGTTTTCAACTACTCACTCTAAGTCCAAACTCAGGACCTCTGCCAACGCAGTCCCTATTATTCACTATGAGAAGGCCGGCCCACTCGATAGGCCCACTCGATAGCTGAGTGTTTTTCTTTGTTGCCGGCCGGCGGCGGGCGGGACGTCTACTACACCTCCTGAAAATCGGCCGCGCGCGCTACCAAACCACAGGGCCACCACCGGGAGGCCGTCGCGACGACCTCCTGAAATCTTTTGTCCGCGGTTCCCCCGCGCCGAAAACCGACCCTTGGTTAACCATGGTAGTGCCGCTACGCGGCCGTGCTTCCCCTGTGCATGAACTTTGAAAGTTGTGGATCGGCGTGCTCTGGGGGTTCAGTTCCTACTAGACGAAGCATCGGCAGACATACGTGTGAAGTCACTATCCCGCTCTAATAGAGCCACATTTGCAGTAAACAGCCACCAACTTCAGCAGCGCACATCGAAGCCACAGTGTTTGCACAATATGCAGGTCGTCGGACTCAGTCGTGACTCCCATCGTAAGCAAACGCGATACTATCGGCATGACTGGCGTTAGCAGGGTTGTACGCGACTCAAAATCGCCACTCTGCTCGCAGACACCACATACTGCGATGACTGCAGCCAGCGCAACTTCCGTCATCGATTTTGAACAAACACAAAGCGACCGAGTTTGCTCAGCACCCTTGGCTCTCAATTCGAGTAAGGCGGAAATACGGACCGAGAATGCTTGGAGGCCTACAGTGCCATCAAACAAGTCATTGATAGCTACGCCGCCTCGCAAAACCCCAAGAAGGCAGAGCAACGCCCTTCTTATCACAAAGCTCGGAGCGCACTCTGTTGCAACCTACCACAGCAAGGACTGAACCCAGAAGAAAATGATAGGATGAGTGCAATCACAGCTATACGCGCCAGGATTCGGGTGTCTTCCGCAATCTGAGAAACATATGGCCGAAAACAGTCGAGGCTTAGGGTGCAGTTTGCAACCAAGGAAAGAGCAAGCGAGGCCACTTCAAAGCTTGCATTGACACCGGGTGCAAGCGCTGACATCTTCAAGTCATTTCGCACGATGGCAAACAGTTGTAGCGTATCATCCTCGGAAGCTGGGTCCACCAGTAAGCTTGCAAGGGCATATCCGGTCGCTTTCTCCGACAGATCTCTCGATGCCATGAGAACGACAGTTTCCCAAAGTCCAAAGTCAACCACATAACCCAGAACTCTAATGTAAAACAGCTTGCATGCATACTTTTTAAAGTCGTACGAGGACAGCATTTTCGCATTGCCGCCGCATCTACGTGCATGTTCGAATTTGCCCCTAATCTTAGCTAATTCAAACGTGACGCATCTCGACTCTATCTCGCGAGTTTTTGCAGACCGTATTGCATCAAGGAAATGGCGCAGTCCGCGGGCTCGCCGTGACACCATATTGCGATGACAGTCTGGCGGCCCCAAATCCAGTGATAATTCAGGATGCCGCCTAAAAACCAGTACCAAACGAAATGTATGTATTAGAGTGCTACCGTAAGGTGTATCAAGTTCGACCTGAGTACGACCGCGGCCCCGCCCCCGACAACCACCCCAAAAGGCAGCGCCAGCCACTGTGACCCCGAATATGGACGCCTCCGTCCGCCACGCCTCCTAGGGTAGGCTAAGTGTGATTGTTGTCTCGATCATCCCCGGGAAATCCAGCGATCCGCAGCCGCCCCCATACTGAGACTGGGCCGGCTTAGTAGGCTCAGTATGAGCCGCCGCGACCGGCCGCGCGGCGGCCCGGAAGAGGCCCCACCCGACCCCGCTTCGCACCCGCCGCCGCCCCACGGACCCTACGGGCTCCCTGGACAGAGGTAGCGCCAGGCGCGGGGCGCTTAAGGGCGGCTAGGGAGAGGGGCAAGCCGCAAACTCAGCTTCGTTGGGTTTCCCAGGCCCGCCACCGTGCTGCACCAGATCGAAAAGCCCCGAGAGCGCCGGAGTCGTTGCAGGTCGGATGCATATCCTTACGGCGGAGTCCTTCGAGCGGCCAATGCGGAAGCGAAGAGGGCGGTGATTGCGAGGGCGAACGAGCATCTTTTAATCGAGGTTGATATCTCCCTGATGCTCATCTCCAAGTCCATCGTCCCAAGTTCGGGTGGCTCAATGGGGGTATCCCAATCGGAGGAGCGCCTTGAGCTCGTCGGCGCCGCGATACTTGAACAAGGGGGGGTAGTTTTATTGCGGATATTGGACTCGATGAGCATCGTGAGGGCAACATAGTGGGCACCTCGGAGGCCAAGGTCATCGACCGTAACAAGACCTGAGTGGGGGATGAAAAATCACGGAAGGAAGGAAGGAAGGAT